AATGAGCTTAAACAATTTTGAAATTTCATCTAGACTGATCTTTTGTGTGGATATGTATATGGGGTTTCTGCTATTAAGCCGATTAATTTTGAGGATATTGAATAAGATGGTGTGTCACAAAGTTTGGAGGTTCAATGAAACAAAGTTTTTAAGATTCGGAAAATGGCCAATTTTGTAATGCTGGGTGAAAAACTAATGTTAAAAATTATTTTAAATTCTACAAAATGTTGCCATGTTATTAAGGAAAAGATCTCTTGACAGAATGTTAACTTGCGGTGTCTTAAATTTTGATAATAATTGCCATGTCACATATATGTACGACATGTAACTATATGTCACAATTGAATTTTACGGCAAAACATCATATTTAAACTCTTCACTCCATGAATTACTTTCATTTTAAGAATTCATTTTTCTATTTTGTTACAAAACAACATTTAATACAAAATGTGCAAAATCAAAACTTTACTTTGATATGAAAATGAATTGATTCTACAAAGAAGTGTTTGTTTTAGAGGGGTTTTACAAAGTCAACAATAAATATCATACATTGTCCAAAAGTAATAAATCTAACTATAAGTGTATAAATGTTGTGTATGATCGTATTGTATGAGTAGTCATTAAAAATAGACGTATCGAAAATTAGAGGATTTTTATGAAATGTGCATCTCTTCAAAAAGTTATCGGTATATTCAAATTAATTTCAATGGAATGGGGACAAAATCATTCCAAAAAATAAAAGTCAACATGTTGTGTCACAGACTTAAAAATATGGCGTTTTGGTGTACGTTATTACATTCAATGCATAAAATGTAATATAAAAAAGATTTTTTCTCCAAAATTTTACTCTTATTGCTAATGACCCTGAAATGGATAAAAGAAAACTATATCAATAATGATTAATTTTAAGAATAATTTTTAAGTTGTATTTATGTATAAAAGCAAAACATGTACACTGTATCAGTATATATCCTTGTCAAAAATCTGTACATACAATAGTACCATTCAGAGTTCGAATTAAGACACCAGAAAAAAACCAATCAAACCAAAATTAATGTAAGGGTGTGATTTCAAATTTAAATTACCTGACAGTTAAGTTTGTCAACTCTATTTGATACTGGCGTAAACTGTTCTATAAATGCCGAGTGAATAGTCCAATATTGAATAAGAGTTAGGGTGTGTTGGAAGTTGTGATTTCGATAGAGTATCAGGTTTTCACTACATAATTTGAAAAATAGTTCTTTCTGTCATTAACCCGGTAGCATCGTATGAATTAAAACATTGTTATGACATCATCTTTTGTTCTTTTAATACCTTCTTATCCTTGAAATAACAAAAACAATCCAATAAGTTACCTGTAACTGTCCAATAAGTTGGAAAAACTGTCCACTATTAAAAATAGTGGACACTTTTTTACAACTTATTGGACAGTTATAGGTAAGCACTAAGAAAAAATAACAACAAATCCAACACAAAAGATATACATGTTATTCATGAACAACGAAATACACACATTGTAATAATTATTCCAACTTTAGAATTTAAATTTGAAAAATACACTCCCAGACGAAATTTCAATTTCACTAGCACCAGCTGGTGCACACACATTAGAATCACTTTCGGCTGCGGTTTTGGCTTTCTTGATAGCTACATCACACTGATTTTCACCGTGAATGATTTTGCTCACTCTTTGCTGTTGTTCTTCATTTGTTCTTTTATACGATCTAACAAATGTCGAGCGGTGTCCAGTTTTCTCGGTTATTAGCTGCTCATCAATGCCAGCATCGTAAAGGCGTGTTGCGGCGGTTGCTCTGAGGCTATGGTTTGTGTAGTGGCCAGTAAATCCTGCTATTTTACACAGTTTTGCGACGGTCTGTTGAAGAGTGTGTACTCCAACAGGGGAATCGGCGTACCAAGTGGAATCTGTGGGGTACCGCAGAGGTCGCAAATAGAGAGCATTGGTTTTACCAGCTTCAGGCCTTTAAAAGAAAATTGCATATTATAGATTAAAGTGTTTTAAATTAAGATATATGTTACAGCAATATTTTGGTGGAAATTAACAACAATATACTTGCCTTAAATGCAGATATTTTTCATACGTGAGCACAGGACATCTCTCGGGAACATTCTTGTTCTGGTATGCTCTGGTAACTTTAGGTTGCAGATTTTTGTGCTGGAGCCCACTGCGATTTGTTTTGGAGACATCCTCTCTATATTCGAGATATCGCAGTCCAGATGCATCCATGGAAAGAGAAATCTGACTGTTTGTCCCAACCCTCAAGTTTCTGTGTTCCTGTCCTGCTCGTAGTGCAAAATGTAGTCCTAGTTGAAACAGTAGAGTATCTAAGAGTTTTTGAGGTGTATCTCTTCCTAAAACTCCCTTGGACAACATTTCATCTTCTTGAGCGTCAGTTATAATCTCTGCCCGTTTCCGCTCTATCCCCATGCCTCGCCCAGAGAGTTCTTTCATCTTTGAATCAAGAATACTGCGCATATCGTGAAATTTATCATCATCCAAAAAGTTTATGAATCTACCTTCATGTCGTAATTTGTGTTGAATTGCACACACAAGTTCATACAAGCTATTGGGTCTGTAATCCTCTCCAGATTTATTCATCACTTCAGCTACAAAGAAACTCATTGTTTTGTTGATTTCCTCATCACTCATTATCATAATATCCTGGTACATAAATGTATCATGGTTTGGTAACATACGCTTTCGTTCATTTTGCCAGTTCGTAAATAGAGTCATTGCCCACTTTGACTTTTGCTCTGTTTTCTTCGATAAACCTTTCTTAACCAAATTATCCAAATCTTCTTGATTGAGCCGTGCAAACCTTTCAATATTTTCTTTTCTTTCTATGTCTTGGGTGGCCTTAACAAGTTCCTCGTCAGAAATATCCGAAAAAATATCTACTTTGAAGTCAAAATTCGGTTGTTTTTTTTTGGATGTTCTCTTTCCAAATCCAAAATATCACTGAGAATGCCATCCGTGTTGTTTTCTTGTTCATCAACTTCTCTAAACTTGTTTTGCGTTAAAAACACGCTTTCTCCATCTGAAGAGGACATCCTAACCGCAGGTACATTTACTAACAAGTGGTGTTCGATGTGCATGCTTTTTATACAAAACCAAGGAACTCACCTGTACCTGTCCACTAAGTTAATAATTGAAGTGAATCCTATTCACAGTATTTAAATCAACAAATTTACCTGAGACAGTCTACTAAGAAGACAATGCCAAATTTAATACAAAGGATGTTTACTTCATTGACGTTGCAAGAGAGAAACTTTTCTTAGAGAGTCCATTCTGAACACAATGGAATGAAATGTTTTAAGTAGGTTACAAGCCTCAAACTGTCCATTCTGTGAGAAAAAAGAACTATTGTCGGGCCTAACGGCCCTCCAATAGTTCTTTCTTCTCACAGAATGGACAGTTTTCGGCATGTAACCTTTACATAAAACAGTTGTATTTTATAATGTTAAAAAAATAGGTGTTTACATTCGAAATAGACGACATTTTGAAACAGGTTATGGCGAGAACAAATTTATTGCATTATTTATTTTAATAAAAAAAAATTTCATTAATATATTTGGTCATAAGCTAGTGGCGTAGCATCGTTTTTGAAAGTGGGGGTGGGGGAGGGCAGCCGGAGAGAAAAAAATTACTTACCGGAAAAAAGTTGTTCAGCCAAAAAAAGGAAAATTTGTTTTAGACGAACTTCCTTCAACGCAAATTTCTTTCAGTATCAAATTTTCTTTTCTTCCTACAATTACTACATTACGCTTATATTACTTTACTTTTGCCAAAATTGGGGGGCCAACCAGCTTTTCAGTGAACATTTCAATAGAAAAAATGTTTTTAAAAATTGGGGGAGGGGGCACGCCCCCTTGTTACGTGCCTGTAAACAATGTCCTTTCTTTTTCATAATTTATTTAGTAATGTTTCATTTTTTCTTATTTTTTTAAAATACTTTTAAACTAATTTCAACCGACCAAAATAGTACATATACTAAGTAACCATTCATTTAATCATTTAATCTCCATATCCTTCAAATATGGGAAAGGACAATGTCTCTATACAATCTCCTTAATCTGATTAAAATCTGACCATGCCGGCACCAAAATTCCTCAACATCAACATCAATTAATTATTCAAATCTGAATCTTGATGAAAGCATATACAAAACGCTCTTTGAATCACAAAAAGCAGGTAAAATGCATTGATATCCAAAGGAGTATATTTAACCTACGATCTTTGATCTGTGTGCTAGGCACATACATTGCAACGTATATAAAAAAGGGGGGGTGAAAAGGGGGAAAGGAGAAAACTGAAATATTTTTCGAATAAATACAACTTAAGCCTCTAAACAGCACTTCATAGAAAATTCTTTTCATGGACAAGTTAAAGTGAGGGAGGGTTACAAAACTCAAGAACAAGTCGGTAAATAATTACTTCTTGGAAAGATGCACAGGAGGTCCTAAATCTAGTGATTTTTGGCCAACTGTTAAACCCTTTTTAACAAACAAAGTTTATACCACAGTAAGTGACACTATTCTCTCAGAGGAAAATAAACTTATTACCAAACAGGAAGAAGTTAGTGAAATTTTTAATAATTATTTTGTAAATGTTGCCAAAGATATAGGAGAAAATAGTGTGCAAGTAGATGTCAAACATCCAAGCATTGCTGTTATTCAAACAAACTCCACAAATATATCTGAGAAATTTTCTTTTACTAGTGTAACCGAAAATTTTGTAAAGAAAAGGATCAGCAAAACAAATGTAAAGAAGGCTACGGGTATTGATGGTATATCATCTAAATTACTCCATTTAGCACAGCCTGTTTTAGCAAAACCTATTACAAACATTATTAACTTGTCTTTATTATGTTCAATTTTCCCCGACAAGCTTAAAGAAGCTCAGGTTACACCAATTCATAAGATAAATAGTGCTCTTATTAAAGACAATTACAGACCTGTCAGTGTGCTCCCTGTTGTTTCAGGTTTTCTAAAGGCGCTGATATTGCCAGAGTCAAAACTACACGGTATGGAAAAGGTTCTTTCAGATATGAGGCAGCAAGGACATGGAATACCCTTCCCAATGATATCCGAAATACCACATCTTTTAATTTATTCAAGAACTACATTTCTACCTGGTGTAGATATCAAAAATGTAACTGTAGTGTATGCAAATACCAGTCCATGCTGCCTTTGTCTGAGAAGCCTTCCTAAATGTTTCTTTTGCAATCATTTGAACTTTTGTGTGTGTACGCTTCTGTCCCCCCCCTATTTTTCTCTTCTGTTATTATTATTATGTTCTGTGATGTCCTTATGTGTGCAAAGCATATGAATAGTTGCATGCTTTCTATGTTGCGTTCCTTGTTGTTCAACTTTCATTTCTGTCAGTGTTAGTAAATGTTATGTACTGTACTGCGCTTTATCGATGTTCTTACTTCATATATTATTTATTCCTCTCAATTATTATTTTAATCAGCATGATCAGTGCTCATTAGGACTGTGATATCCATCCGTGTGCAAAACAATGTATACTGCTTCTTCTTTTTTAGTTTATTCTTTGCAAAAGGTGCTAGTATATGTGATTTTTGTTTTCTTTAGCCTTAAAGTGTCATTTTAAATGGCTTCATTTAAATTATCTTTTGTTTTACTAACAATGTATATTTTTACTAATTTTTATCTTTGTGTAAATATGTTAAAGTCGGTTAAAGAGCTCACCACAGCTCATGTTATTTCTGTTGAATTGTATATATGTGCCGACTATAAATAAAAATTACTTGACTTGACTTGAGGGTCAATTCTCAGATTCGATTCTAGCTCTCCTTTTTAAAATTGAATTATTTGAAATATTTAGATCTACTGTAGATACAGGTACTCAGTATGTAAGGGTCTGAGTGATGGTGGAGGTTAAAGATGGGATGGGAATAGGGACTTTAAACGAAAAGAAAAATTTCAATGTTAAATCAGCAACATATCTACATGCAATCATACAATTTACTGAAAACAAAGGACAGGTTTTAGCGCCCACTGATATGATATGGAATTGTTTTGAATTTATCTCAATTAAATAAAAAGCATGTAAATTTAAATTGCGATGTCGAACAAGTTTTATTATTCCTACCTATCTTTTTATTGAATGAAGCAAATTATGCATATATTTCCTAGATTCCGCAATATATGCTTGCAAAAGGGCAGCGAATTTAATTACATGCATTTTTTTCAATGAACTGCATTAAATAATTGGAGGCATAATTGGGTTTATTTTTTTTCTTCATAAAAAATGTATTGATTGATTGATTGTATACCGTTTAATGTCCCTCTCCAGAATATTTCACTGATATGGAGACGTCACCATTGCCGGTGAAGGGCTGAAAATTTAGGCCTATGCTCGGAACTAACGGCCCTTGAGCAGGGAGGGATCTTTATCGTGCCACACCTGCTGTGACAAGAGGCCTTGGTTTATACGGTCTCATCCGAAGGACCGCCCCATTTAGTCGCCTTTTACGACAAGCTAGGGGGTACTGAGGACCTATTCTAACCCGGATCCTCACGGGATCATAAAAAATGTAAGAAAAAGAGTAACATCAAATTCCCGAAAATGACACCAACACCGTGCACAACGTCATTAGGAAATTACAGGTTGGGAGGGGGGGGGGGGGTAGTGGCCAACTTTTCAGGGCCAACTTCTTTTAACTTCCAATTTTTTCCTATGTTTCCTTCCTATGAATATACAATCGTAAAAAGTGGGGGGGGGGGGGGGGAGGGGGGCAACCATCTTTTTAATGAACATTTTCTATAGTAAAGGTAATGTTGGGGAAAAGTGCCCCCCCCCCCCCCCCCCCCCCCTGTTTCTACGCGCCTGTTGTAAAAGTTTATTTTTGACGTTATAATAAACTAGAATTGTTAAAGAAAGGGTACATGTAATAAGAATGTTATAAAAGAAAAAGTATTATATATATGCTCTTGTAATTTAAAACATAGAACTTTTAGAATTCTTAGATCATGTTTATTTTATCCCGTGAGGATCCGGGTTAGAATAGGTCCTCAGTACCCCCTTGCTTGTCGTAAAAGGCGACTAAATGGGGCCGTCCTTCGGATGAGACCGTATAAACGAGGCCCCGTGTCACAGCAGTTGTGGCACGATAAAGATCCCTCCCTGCTCAATGGCCCTGAGTGCCGAGCATAGGCCCAAATTTGCAGCCCTTCACTGGCAATGGTGACGTCTCCATATCAGTGAAATATTCTGGAGAGGGACGTTAAACAGTATACAATCAATCAATCATGTTTATTTTAAGGAATCACTGTTTAGTTAGGAGGATTCGCCCGTTATGCAAATTATCCCATGTTTCCCACTATTGTTGATGTCCCTGACTTACCCTCCTAACTAGACAGTGATTCCATTTTTACGTGAAATAAAAATAAAAGAAACGCAGGGTAGCATAATTTTCGATAAAAATTTGACCACATGACCGAAAATTACGAAAATTGGTCAGAAGGGAAATTTAGTTACTGTGCATCAAAATCGGTATTCAGAATTACTCAACCGTAAAATTTATGACGTCACGTAGGGAAAACGCTAAAAAGCACAAAATACGTGCAATTTGATAACGACGAGTTTGTCAACAAATCTTGTTGCATTATTTGATGCATCTGAGGTATGTACATCGTTTTTCAATATTAAGACACATTATGAATTTATTGCAATCTTGGCACAGTTTACGGAAGTTCAATGGGGTCTTGTTTTCGAATTGCCTAATTAATGAAAAGGGCAACAGCGGTTTTTTAACCAGTCTCTTGTAAATTTTCCCCCATAAGACTTTTTACCCGTTGTCAGAGAGGGTCTGGAATGATTTTCAATCAACCATGACGATGACGTTAACGCGAAACAGAGCCATGTTACGAGCGGGTTATTCGTCCAGCCATCTCTTAAATTGCCACCTTACTAACACAAAATCAGCCATTTATACAGTGGACGATTATAATCATTACATTCATACAAAATTTGAAAGGAAACAATTCCGCAATTTGGTTTTTTGAGCCAGTCAACTTACGGTTGTATTCCTCTCACTGGCGCATGCGCGCGCCGCTTGACTTATTTTTTGTGTGGTTACCCATGATAAATATAGCCAGGGTTTGAAAGATAAACACTCTGATGAAATTCCATGCAAAGGAGAAACATGACTCTGACAAATGCACGAGATAGACATTGAAGATAATGAGAGTTTTCAATTTTCACTTTTGGGGGGTATCGTCATTTGAGCTTCAATAACTCATGAATAATTAGTCATATTCATATGAGAACTTGGTTATATCTTTTTGAAAGATGATTATAAAAGGTAGATAGGAAAACTAAAAAGTATTTAAAAAAAAACAAATTTAATTCACCTCAAAAGTTTACCCTGCGTTTCTTTTTCCTTTCAGTATATATCAGAATACCGTCTAAGAACTACGAACACTAAATCTTGATTCCCGCCTACATTTTGCACCCATTAAATTCAGTATTAATGGCAATTTGTCCATTAAATCTTTGTTTAATACAAAGAACAGTTCTTTGGTTATTAATTTATCATTCTAATTCCAGCGCTAGATAGTAAATTATCATTAATTCCAGCTCTTGAAAAAAAAGGGGGGGGGGTAGACGATATTTTTAGTGAAATCGAACTTTCAAGAATCACCATATTTTGAAATAGTCTTAAATATGATAAAAATTATCTGATATATTTTCTCTTGTTTTCGCAAATAAATAAAACATATATGAATTAATAAGATAAAAATATTGAGCTGTAAATATTTTTAAAATTGGTTAAAAATCAGTATTTTTTTTCGTATATAAACATTTGTTGTCTCTCCCCCCCCCCCCCCCGTGAAACACAAAAAGCTTTGGCATAAAAAATGACAGTCCATATTACCTGTAAGAAGGAATTTTTGTTTCACGGGGGGAGGGGGAGATGTTTTAAAAATATTTTCCGTTTTCTGTTGATTTCTATAGAGAAAAACACAAGTTTTGCCAAAATTATAGAGTTATCTCTCTTTGGTATCCCAAATAAGTAACATTTTATGAAAATTCATATAAATATTTATAAAAATTTTGAAAATCTTTCGAATATGTTAATTGTTGAAAATTGACTTAGAGGTAGGCGGGAGAACAATACTATCGTTCGTAGTTCTTAAGTAGATTTGAAATGCACGAGGCCCCTTGCCCCGCCCCTTGACGTCAAATTTTACTTTTAAAAAATAGTCCCATAAAACACGAACCAAATTTAATGATTATTTACATGTAGTTACTGTGAATCTCGTGAACTATAATTATATATGTGACCTAGATTTAGGTTGTCGGAAGCACGAAAACATTTACTTCTCCGTCGCCATATTTAATGCAATGTTACAGTTGATAAAATTGGAGTTGGTCATCATGATGACAGGTCAGGAAACAGATTTGTGTGAATGTTAAAATAACAGAGGAAGTTGATTAATAAGTCGGATGGTAATGACTGAGGGGCAATGTCTGTATCAGATGATGAATTTCAGATCGATCTATGTGCATGTGGCGATGCCGATTTCTCCACGTGGTTCAGATGGGCTGTTTTCCATGTTTACGGAAGTGGAGTTCACGGTCTCACGAGTCCTCGGTGGTAGTGGACTAGGTCCCTTGCTCTTGATCCGGAGATAATTCATTACTAATTTTGTTTGTAAAAAAATATATATCATATATAATTACTAAGTAAACAATTAAACAAAACAGCTATTTTTTCTTCAGTGTATTTATACGATACGCCAGTACGTATACATGCAGGATGACATTTGACCTTTCAGTAGTATTTCAATAGAGAGATTTACGTGCCACAGGAATCACGGAAAATAAACAAGATTGACTTTTGTATTGTTTATCATAGGGAAAACAATTGGAAATGGAAATATTATTTTATAAATTCTTTATATCTATCATAGTTTATTACCCTATATAAACACATGAAAGTTCGTAATTTTTTGGCATTTTGAGATGCCCTCCGGTGAAATAAGAGGGTGGAATTTTGAGTTACATAGTACACTTAATGCACAATACAGTATTACTCGTCATACATGTACATATTTTAATTTGAGCAAAAGGTCTATCTATTGTGATAATTTGCTTTAAAGTGCAAAATTGGCACAAAACAGAGTTTGCAACTTCGACAGACTATTTTCGACACCTCGTTGGGAAATCCTCGAAATATTAATATGAAAGCTACTTATTGACTGGAAGTAAAGGTGTTCATTTCGTCCGAGATTATTAATTAATTGATTTAATTAACTTTGTGTTCAATTGTAATCAAAGTCCTTAGAATTTCAATGTTCAACACCCGCAACTCATCATTTCTATTGTCAACGAGCGGAGTCGTGATAATTACCATTTCTTTTACTTTAATGGTATTCAAATCAATGTCAAAGTTGGCTTTGTAGGAAAACAAATAAGATAAGTAAAATTTGCTGAGGACCTTACACTGAGTAATTCTTAATTTTGTTGTAAATAACACGATTGAATAATGTGTACATTGCTATGATCCTTTCAAGTACTATTCTAAAAATATACGAGTATATTAATGTGTGTAGTAGCTACAATGTATGGTGTAAAGTAAGTTGTTTAGTACAAAAATATTTAGTATTATTTGTGGAGTAGATGCAGTAAAATTTCGACCCCTGCCGAGCTTCCATACTAGGTACTTCCCGAAGATTTGAAATTAAACGCAAGCAATAAAAAGGTCAATTAGTTCCCAATTTTTTAGATAACTAAATATTTAAATATCAAAGCATTTTAAATTTTATCATCATACCTACATCGTTCTGCTCTTGCCATGTCACTGATGAATTAAGATACATTTTTATATCTAATACATCATACATCTTGTTGTTTATATAATCAATCTCTTTGATTTTTAGAACTACGCTTTGGTATTCATCGTCCTATTGGTCATTTGGATTTTTATCCAAACGGCGGAGAAATCCAACCTGGATGCTCTGGTAAGGAAAAGTTATTATAAAAATATACCCTATTTATTCATTACTTACAATTTACATTTTTCTATTGCAACCTTTTTTTATCTGTCGCCCGTCGTGAGTTGTGCATAACATGGACGACGTACTCTCTCTAAAATTAAACGACTCCAAAGCGAAATGGGGCTGAGGGCGAGAAGTGTAATATTTTAACATTTTCAAATTGTTTTCTAAAATCGCTTACCAGTTTCAACGTTAACCCTGGGTCCTGAGTACTTATAATTAGTCTAAAACCTAAAAAATAAATGCAATCTTTGACAATCTTCTCCTTTACTCCTAAAAAAACAAGCAGCTACGCTGCTACTATAACTGTAATTAACATTAAGCCCTTTGTAAAAAAAAAAATATGCTTTGAAAATATTCTTCTCTGCTCCTAGGGAATAACTAATCAGACTAAGAGCATGGTTATCATGAACAAGGAGCCTCTTCTGAAATTGTGAAATTCATGGTCCCAGGCCTAGGGTTAGGGGTTCTGGTAAAAGAAAGGGGGTTTATCGATCACATATTCTTTGAAAATATTCTTTTCTGCTCTTGATTATAAACCAAAAAAAAAAACTAATTAAACACAATAAGACCCTTTGGTATAAGAGTGGGGCTCTATTGATAAAATGAATTCATTTTATTAAATAATGATGTCCCCCCCCCCCCCCCTTATTGTTGAGCAGATAAAGAGAGTGCGTGAATAAAGAACAAAGATGCTTCTTACGAATTTTTTGAAAGGTCTTATAACAGGGTAAGGTGTTTCTCGGGAGGGGGTGGGGATGTTATATTGATAATACTGTGTTACTTCTTTGAAAACTTTTAACTTAAAAAAAAACAGATAAGATGACGATGGTATATTTTTAAAGTTTGTGAATTTCCTGACATTGGGTCATAGGTTCTGGTGTTAAGGTAAGGTGATACGGTAGGTATTTTACGGAATTTGGACTACATGTGTTGTATATCATGATACTAAGACGCCATATTAATTGGAACTCTTTTATTACGGAGATACAAAAGTAACAATCAAGTCGTACAACAAATGATTCATATATGACATCCTCCTTTTTCTAGATAAAAGTTTACCTTTAAAGATATAAATCTAATTCAATGCATAAAACTTACAGTTGTACAGAGACATGTTTAAACTGACTAGACTTTAACTGCCTAGATAATTAACTGACAATTGAATATGTAAAGATTACAAAATTAATGAATGAAATTTGCAATAATAAATTGTTTCCTCCATTGGATCCTCCATGGAATGAATAAACACAATTTGAACACATTCAGATATGACAAAATTTCACAGATTCACATTTGCTTTAGCCTCACATGGAAATCACACACAATCCTTGAATCTTTCTGGCTGCTTTATTACTCTGCCTGATCTGGTTGTGACAGGTTTATCGCACGGACTGCTGGTAAGTGAACACTTTTGCTGATCTTGGACATCATATGTAGATTGAGCGGTAGGTATATCTTCCTGTACACAAGGTTCGACTGGTTCTTCAACATGAATTTGCGCTTTCTCATCGCTGATAGAACTATGACTTTGTGGCTTTTGTACAGAATGCCATCTATACATGAAATTTCTTCTCTAAAGTTCCAGTATTTGTGAATGCTCTGTGGCACTTCTTCTTTGTTAGCTGGCCATCCATTTTGGACAGTTGTTTTCAGGGTTTGTAGTAGTTTTAGGTCTTCCGTTGTTAGCCTTTTGAACTGTATGTATTCCTTGTGTGTTACTGCAAGATATGCTAACTGTTGACTGAAATATCGAGCTCTAAGTCTTCCTTCGTTTCAGGTAAGAACGCTCTGCTGAGTGTATCAGGTAGGAACATAGTTTTTCCTGGTTTGAACACAACATTCAAGTCATATTTTTGAGGTGAGAGCAGTAGTCGCTGTAGTCTAGCTGGAGTCTGGTATAGAGATTTCTTGAAGATTGACTGTAGCGGCTTGTGATCTGTCTCCACTGTGACACTTCTTCCAAAAATATATTGATGGAATTTCTCGCACCCAAATGAAATAGCTAGTGTCTCTTTCTCTATCTGCGCATAGTTCTGTTGACTTTGGGTAAGGGCTCTGGAAGCGTATACGATGGGTTGTCCTTCCTGAACAAGTACTGCCCCCAGCCCTTTAGAGCTTGCGTCAACGGTGAGAGTCAAAGGTTTGTTCGAATCAAAATACCTCAACACTGGTGCTTGACAAACCATTTGTTTCAGTTTCAAGAAACTATTCTGCTGTTCTTCGTCCCAATGCTAACATGTGGTCTTTTCTAAGAGCTGACGAAGTGGAGCGCTGACTTCAGACATCGCAGCACTGTTAAGGCTAGAAAAAAGGGGCGGGGCCTAATTCATACGGGAAAAGTTTACTTGACGTCACACAAAAATATGACTTTTATGCATTCATCATATTACCCGAAAATAAAATAATTTGCAATTTTAAACTGTATTAGCTTAATAAACAACAATAAAACTTACCAATTCATTAACTAAAGTCGCTAGTTAAATCCCATACAAATCACTGATCTTGATGAACTTGTCAATCATGACGTCATTTTGGTAATGAAGTGCCACGCCACAGCATGATACGCCCGTCAAAATTACAATTATCTTAAACAATTAAAAGTGCAAGAAAATCATGTCAACCTTGATTTTAGATTTCCATGATTTTTCAACTCCTTAAAAAATTTGTTAGGTGTAGGCATTAATTATAACATATATTGCATCATTCATAGATTTCTATACTGGTTGTGTTAGACCTTGCCAAATGCCTATCATATTAAACAATATCAAATAATTTAGTCTTAACAACTTAATCTATACCTAATTAATTTTGAAAATAAAAGGCTGGCCATCAAATATAAAATGACCAATAGTTCTTCTGTCTAAAAAAAATCCCAAAGGATACACTGTCAGTTAAGATAATGCTCTGAAGAAATGATTGAGACAGCTATAGCCTTGCTACATTGAACACATTAATTAATCTTTAACTGGATGCTTGTCTACTCATTACTCCCAAGAGATAATTGGATCTGCACTATCTACCATAAGGCATTTTTAAAACAAATTAAACCTCAATGATTGTTTTGTTAGATTTAATGGCAGACAGGTTTTAATATGCAATTCGTATGGACATGCTGATTCCACCCCACCCCTATAAAATTAGTTTTTTAAAGTTCATAATATTATGTAATATCAAAATAGTTTATTATGCAAAATCAAATTAGTTTTATTTACTTCTCATCAAATTCATTTTAAAACTTATGCTAGCCAACAAGAGCTATTTTTAATCCAACAGGATTACCCATTTGGCCCAATACTCAGCACCGATGCTCTTCCTCACACTAAACTCATTAATTTCTCTCTCTAATTTGACATGCAATTTTCTGTTATCAAAATTCTTCTTGACCAGTGCTTGATAATTAAAAATAACAAAACTCATGGGAGTGGTGGAATTTCTTTAACATACATTACATTTGTTATAGATTGCTGTCAAGTATATGCTAAAAAAATAAGTATTTTCTTGATTTAACATTTTTCTAATAAGGATAGTACAATACTTTTACATTTTTTGGAGTGAGTAAATGAAGAGAAAAAAAAAACATTTTTTTTAAATTTCACTTAAATTAAAGGTCACAGTGACCTTGAAATAGGTCGCGACACACCCTCTACCTAAGATGCATGAAGTGGCCAAGTTTGATGATTCTAAGTCTAATAGTTTTCTAGTTATGGACCGGACAGGATTTTTCCATATTTGCCTATAACTTTTTAATTATAGGTCAGAGCGACCTACTTTTTGTGCGCGACACACCTTCTACCCAAGATGTATCAGCTGACAAAGTTTGATAACTCTAGGCCTTATAGTATTCAAGTTATGAGCCGGACACGAGAAAAGCTAACAGACGGACGGACAGACAGACGGCTAGACAGACGGACATGAAGCCTATAACATAATACGTCCCGTCTTAAGACGGGCGTATAAAAATGACGTATTTTATGTACTGTGAGAGACAGATTTGGAAATTTTTTAACAATGAAAAATGCGTTTTATTATAAAACAGAATATTATTTACAGGTTTTTAATAGGCTAACAATACCAATGTATATCCTTTGCTAAGTGCGATTATTCATCAACTATCGAGAGAATGTATTTAAATAATTCTGTGGTGTTTTAATGTTCAGGTTAGATATATTTTACATCGAGGTGCCTCATAAAATCGCTTTTTCGCAAGGGCATACACTAAATAAATCTTTACCATTTTTTAAATATAAATAAAGGATATGTTCCTTAACTTGAAAAGTGCTGCTGCTTTCTTGAAATCGAGAGCATGACTTCATAAGTTCACAAAATATCTGGTAAAAGTAAAACTTATTTCGACATCACCCTATTTACTTGAAATTATAACTATTAAAACCCGAATTCTATTCCAAGCAGCAGCACTTTCCAGAAAGTACAAAGAATGCAGAAAAAATTAAAAGTTTGAATTTTTAATTTCAACTAGGGTATGCCCTTGCGATATTGAAATTTGTTATTGACCTACATTCCGTGTACCTACTATGCATTCATCATGTGACTGTCCATCGATGGGACCAAACTCCATACAGTACAGGGTATGTTATACTATGCTATTTCCATAAGTATTTAAGTTCTGTAATAATAGATGAATAAAAATAATTTCAGTTTTAAAAACAATTCCCGTTTTTGCACTATTCTATTTCCGTTGATTTCTCATAGTAAGCCTTAACAGTGCTGCGATGTTGGAAAGAAACTTCGAGAGATACTGAATGAAGCCTAGGAAAGTCTATAGTTCCTGAGTACAAGTTGGTCTGTTCATCTCTGTGACAGCTCTAATTTTCTCTTTGTCCGGCCTCACTCCTGCTGAAGTCAGATTGTGTCCCACATATGTAACTGTGTCCTTTCGGAACTCACATTTTTCTGCATTTAGCTTTAGATTGTAGTGTCTGATTTTGTCCATAATAATTGCA